CGCCGATAAATGACAGCAACATCAATAAAGGCATTCTTCTGGGAGAGGCGGGGGGGTGTTGGGAGACATAAGGAATACTCGGTTGTTTTTGAACAAAGTAAAACTGTCAAATCGCATCCCATGTGATCATGTTATCAAGAGGCTTGTGACGACAAAGGGTTTCCAAATCCTCCTGAACATGCTCCGCCATATCGTCGCTTCCCGAAGGCGCAGTGATCTTACCCCCGCGCAAGTGTTCGCGGTTGCTTCTGTGCAGCTCTTCGATGCGTTTTTTGGGAACTGAATTCAGTTTCCGAAGAAGCTCCCAAGCACGTGGAGTGATATAAATGTATCACGGCACCCGGAAGGTGACATCACAGAACGAGACATTTTAACATAGGACCGCAGAGCTTGGGCGAATAGTTGGCACGGCTTTGTCCGTGGTTTCCCACACCGCCACGTGAGAACGGCACTCACGTTACAAATTCTACAGCCGTTTTGAGATGCAATTTGCATGAACGGCATTATATATACACAGAACGTCAAAACTAATATTATCACTGATCTCCCGTGTGCTTTCGAGTTGTTAGCAGCTGTCGTCGGGAACGGAATTTCGAGGACGCTCTCCCCGGCGCACGTCGCAAAAATCGTCGCGCGCCACACCAAGGCGACGCGCGGCACCATAGCGGCGCGTCACGGAGCCGTGCGACGTTGCGATGATACATTCGTGTGTGTTTTTTTTATTGCCGAACAATACGTACGTTGAATATTTCCCCTCTGCCCGCCCCCCCCCCCCAAATAACGTGGGGGAGCTCACCCCCCCTCACTCCCCGGTCGCACCCCACCCCCCCCTCCCCCCTTTTAGTAAGCGAATCACGGCGCACGGCGGCATGCCGACGGGGCTCTCCCGCCGTGCGCTCGTTCGACTGTGGGTCACTTGCCGGGGGAACAATCTGTTTTGCGGCTAAGCGGGGGAGCGCAGCAACACCACTTTCAAGGCTCATTAGAGCTGGGCAATAATGGACATCACATTCGCTTGTTGTTCCGCTCACTTGAATTTTAAAAGGACGGGAAAAATTATTTCTCTCGCCGAGGGGGGGGGGGGTGGCACGGGGTGGGGGGGGGGGGGCAGAGAGCGTCCCGATCGCCGTCGCCACCGCAGGAGACGGAGAGTTTTGTTTGCTAGCACAGTTTTGTCCCGGGTTGTCCGGGTTGTTGCGGGGCTTCCTCGGGGCGGCGCTGTCGGCAGAGGGCAGCGCAGCATTTGAACCTTTGTCGAGCTTACACCGTGCTCCCTTGTGGGAGCGCTGCCGGTCCCAAGCGGTCAGCGTGCCGCACTATGAACCACGGCGGCGTGAGTTTCGGCCCCCGCCGTGGCTAACGTCGTCGGCGGGTGGTTTCTCCACCGGTGCCCGGCTGTCGCTTTGGGATGGTCAAGTATGGTCAATAACCCCCCACCACTTGCACGGGGCGGGGAGGCCCTCATCCAGCGAGGGATCGACGGTTCCTGGCTTCTGCGAGGGAAGGTTGTGGGTTTGCTGCCGGTGGGAAGATGAATGTCTCAGAATAGCGGAAGAGGGGGCGGAACTGTGCAGCTGACAAATATCCGTCTCTTGTAACGCCCCGTGAAGACTCCCAGATTTGCGAGGGCAGCAGCTACCTCTCTCAACAAGAAGATGACCCCAGGAAAGCAGGACAAGTGGTGACACTTGTGAGGGCTCGTGAGGACATGTGCATTGGACGTGCCGGCTGGCACAGAGGTGACGGTGAAACTAAATCAGCGGTTTGACACCGAGGTACTCGTACTAAACGTGGCTGCACCACTTGGCCCACGCTGGCTTGCTCCTGCATGAACAGTGCTTTGCTCGAACCACACAGGGATCTGTAGGCATTGCTGGAGATTTTAACAACGAGCCAGAGAGAGCTGTGAGAATAAGCGCACGAGTCTAATGTAACCTTCTAAACTAAACTATTTTTTTTATTTTACCAGGTAAGGCCCACTGAGCTGTGTAGCTCTTTTTCAGAAGCGACCTGGCCACAAATGATAGCTCACCTAAGTGACTTATCACGTGGAAATTTATAGCAGCCAAATACTCGAGGCGCTTGTACGAGTGTGTTCTTCTTTAATTCGTACTTTTGTCATTAAAAATCGGTCCGAACTTTGCTTGATTTAGTTGTAAATTATATCAAAAGTTCACTTCTTTTTTTCGTGTAATTTGCTTTTATTCCCCTGCACCCAGATCTGTCCCTGTGTTATGGCTTATATGCGATTGGGTGAGTCGTGTAGAATGCAGCTCGTCTGCTGCCTGTCTCTTCCCATCTGGCACATCACGCGTTTGCCTTAAGGGGTCCTATGCAAGAGCAGGGAATGTCTATGCATGGTTGTGTATGTATGTCAGCTCGTGTACCGTTCCGCCCTTCATAGATGCTCGCTAACAGCGCTTGCCCCAACAGTCTATTACAGGCTATATGGGGGATCTTTGTCTTTGTGTGTCAGCATTGGTGTAGTGGTCAGCGCGCCACGGACCCGGCAACCCGAGTTCGAATTCCCACTCACGACAAATAATGGTGGCGAACGGTCTGAACCGATCCTGCACCTCCCCTAGGTCGACTCGGCCTTAAACGAGCACACTGTTCCTGGTGCTGTGTGTAAACATCAGCGTTGGAGAGACTGAGGTGGCCTGGCGTGGTGCTGGTCACCCACCTCGTGTGCCGTGCGTGGCGTTCGTGGGTGCTCGCTAACGGCACTTGCCTGAAGGAGAGTCTGGTAGTGGCTATAACAGGGCTATCTTTGGCCTCGTCTTTATTAGGTTTTCATAGGTGCTCGCTAACAGCACTTGCCCCCACTGGCTCCGCTAGTGCCCCCCCAATGATCCGATCGAAATCCCTAATTTCTGTCAGATCATTGGGGTTTATTAGTAATAAATCGGCATTTTGCGACCCCCACTGCCACTGTGTAGCATATTATTACGTGCCAGGGACTCTATGAGATAATAGTACAACGGTCTGAGTCCATAATTGGCAATAAGTAATGGCAAAGCAGTTATAAGTGACTCACAGAATTGTGCGCAGTTGCGTATACAGTACACGACTTCCCTGAAGACATTAACCCTCAGCGAGCGCGATGCTGATCACACACGGTTCGAATTCGACCCTCAATCGATGGTTGTGCCATCGCCGCGAATAAAAAGCAAGGGACAAGTCCTTACTTATTAACGACTCCTATCATTTTTCATTGCTGGAGGGGTTGCCCCCCCTACCTGAAAATCCTGGCTCCGCCATTGCTTGCCCCAACTGTCTATTAGGTTATAGGACATGGTGGTGGTGGTGGTGATCTTTGTCTTCGTGCGTGCGTAAACTCACGCACGATATCTCCCCAAGTTTTGTCATTCTTTGCTGACGAGGACCGATTTTTTTCTTTCACGGTTTTTGTTAATCAACGAAACTCTGCCCGCGGTCCTCTATTTAAATTTCCGGAATTGTCAAAAAGCCCTCCTCCCCATCACGTCCTTCGACATTTGACAGCAATACCGCTGTAGCAGTTGTATTTAAAATTCAGTATTAATTACATGTCCCCCTCCCCGCCCCATTATTTATTTCCTGAAGCCGAATGTGGTCTCGTTTGTTCCGTGGGAAATTTTCGCTTTCTTAATGCCGTACGTCCCGCATTCCTTTTTCGCTGTTTTCAGCGCCGTATATTTACCCGAGGCAATGGTGAGCTTTTAATTATAATCAATCATTTGGGAGGAAACATTTGTGCCTCGTCTCCCCCCCCCCCCATTGTGCAGGCAGACACTACCACAATGCATTGCGTCCGTTTGAGTCTTCTTCTTCTGTTGGTGTAATCTGTTTAATTTACTTAAAAAAACAATTAAAGCACATGGTGTTTAACCATGCTGCCTCCAGTAATGTTTTAACATCGCGGTATTTTCCGAGCCTGTCACTGTCCACAATCGCTTAAAAAAACGATGAAAATTAGGTTTTCTTTCATATATATAAGTGTTGCACACTCGAAATGAAGGACGTGGGCAGGTGCTCCAAATCGAGGGCAAACACATTTATTGTGGTCAATCTGTAAGATGCAACAGCACGTGGTGTCACACACAGCAATCCTCAACCGAGTCGCCATTAACCACGTGACTGGTGTACAAGTCCCGTTAATCAATAAGCCTGCCAGCCATCCACAGCCCCAATTCAGTCATCGCATGTTGGCGTACATACGTGCATTGATGTACTGCACAGCACATAAGGACTTTCACAAAACCTCACTTTACTCCCCCCGTGCTGCACGAGTAAATAATTAAAAGAGTGGTCCATTCCTAATGTGCCACGTAAGCTGCATGTCAGTCAAAATGACGACATCAATAATCACATCCTTTACCCAGGTACGCCTCTAGATGGTTGATGTCGTGACTCTTGAGTTTCTGGAAGATTCTGCCTTTGGATAATTCGCCAATATCAGTAGTCATCTTTAGCTGCGTGTGCCATTGTCTGGCGAAAAACTAGCCGGAGTATGGTGAAAAAAAAGTTTTTCCTAGGTCAAAGGTCATAACTCATCATCAGTACCATAGGGTTCCATGCGATCAGAATGAACCCTTACTTGACTCTGTACAACAATATTGCTCCAGCTAATACTGTAACATACAGACTAACTCAAAGGGAGTAAAATGAAGTTTCTTGCATTGTTGATAAGGTTTACTGACCTTACATAACTGCCGCTATGTGGATGTGTGTGTGTGTTGAAATTCTTTCGCACCGTACGTGGCCAATCGGAGGTGTGGGCCTTTCCCCTTGAACACTTACAAGACAGTTCAAACATCGGGTGCTTTCCTGCGTCTCCACACACAAATACAATATATGATGCTCAAGTCCACAGCAATTAAGACTCTCTCGCCAGGTTTGCACATTCTTTCATATGCCGTCCCAAGCGCGCACAGAAGCATTGAGGACCACGTATTGTTTCTACGGCCATGGCCTCGTTACTAATGTCATCGGTGTTGTCGTTCGTCTGCTTTCGGCAGCCGGGACCGGTGTTTCCCGTGGACGTGGGGGCACTGGGACTGGCCATGGGACCGCGTGCTGCCGGCCGGGGAAACCCGGACGCCAGAGAGCCAGAAGGCTCACTCCTTAAAGACTGGCACGACCACGAGGCCATCCGGAGAGACGCGGCCCGCAGAGGTACACACAACATATTCTTAGGTTTTTTCGGTAAAGTCACGTAGGTAAAACATTAAAATTAATAAAAATTAAAAATAAAAATCACGACGTTTCGGAGGCAACACAAGCTTCCGTCTTCAGGTACACACAACAAACAACAACAAACAAACAACAACCGCCATTCGTCACCGAGTGGTGGTGGCGTCGCCACGGCGCTTGTGCAAGACTCGGTAAAGTGTCGAATGCTCGCTGGCAGGTCAAGGAGACAGGCCCCAGGGTGTTATGGGTTGACTGGCTTCGATGACTGACAGACGTTACCACCTGTACTGCCCACTGTGCCAGCTTTGCATGTGTACGCGCGCACGCGCACACGGACACGTGCGCCTATCTGGATGCGTAGGTTTCGTAGCACAGTTTGCGAACCACCGCGTCATCTCTCCCAACGCACACACGTGCGCTCACACGCCTTCCCGCGCACGCAGAAGTCAGAGCGTCGGGTTGTCACCGCTGACATCTCGTCACCCCCCGTATCTCTCCGCGTCCGCTCCCCCGTCCCCGCCCGTCTCCCCCGCGCCTCCGATCCCAGGCAACGGCGAGCAGGGGAAGCCCTTTTCCCTCACCGACGAGGACCGCTCGGAGGCGGCCTACCGGGAGAACGGCTTCAACATCTACGTGAGCAACAAGATCGCTCTGGACAGGGCGCTGGCCGACATTCGCCACCCCAAGTACGCGTCGCCCGGCCCCACACACCCCCCCTGCCCCCCCCCCCTGACGCGTCGATTAATTGCTTAATATACGTTTTCACCCTCATGTTACACACACACACCGATTCGTGTGTACAATAGATACGAGTAGAAATTCATCAATTCACACACACACACACCGAATAGTGTGTGTGTGTGAGAATTGATGAATTTCTACTCGTATCTATTGTATATCGTTAGTTCATTTGATTCCTGCAATCACTTAGAGGCCCCTAACCGTGAACCTATTCTGCACCCGAATTGTAGGAAATGTGTTGAATTACGAGGTGGGAGAGGGGGTGAATCATTACACCCATACTCGCGAATGCTCCGATGGCAGACTGCCTCCGAATATCTTCCGGTGTTGGGCTGGATGGTGGCCAGGGGACAGCAGTACAGCCGTAGATTCCTTAATCCGTTCGTGCAGAGGCTTTCAGAGGGTTATCCCCTTGTGTGCGAGCGTGGGTTTCCTCCGGGCACTCTGGTTTCCATCCATACGAAGCCAAACGTTCATTTATGTTGGAATTGGCTAACGTTCCAATATCAACATCCCCTCTTGAAAAAATGTATCTTGAGACTAATTGAGGGTTCGTGGCAGTGGTACAGCGGTTAGTGCGTTCACTGTTAATCCTTGCGTTTGATTCCCAGCCACGGCTAACATCAGTGGTGAATGACATCACACATCTCACCCCCCCCCGCACATCTCCCACCTCCCCCCCAAATCTCCACCTCCCCCCCACATCTCCCACCCCCCCCCACATCTCCCCCCCCCCACATCTCCCCCCCCACATCTCCCACCCCCCCCCCACATCTCCCACCCCCCCCCACATCTCCCCCCCCCCCACATCTCCCCCCCACATCTCCCACCCCCCCCACATCTCCCACCCCCCCCCCCCACATTTCCCACCCCCCCCCCCCCACATTTCCCACCCCCCCCCACATTTCCCACCCCCCCCCACATCTCCCACCCCCCCCCCCACATCTCCCACCCCCCCCACATCCCCCACCCCCCACATCTCCCAGCCCCCACATCTCCTCCCACCTCCATTCCACTCTCAAACTCCCCGGGCCCCGCTATCTCACCGGCACAGAGCGACCACCCCCCTCCCCCACCCCCCCCCCCTCCACCCCCCCTCCACCACCCCCACCCCCACGCTGCTGCTCTGTCTGGTCCCGCATTGCCATTAGCCGTCTCCCTGGCCGGCCCGCCTCTCGGGGTTGGACCGCTCATTTTGGAATGAATCATCCCGCCAGGGAGCCCCAATTGGGTGTTGCGCAAGCCGATATTTATCTGATTTCCCAGCGAGCTGGGCGAGGTGGCGGACCAGCGGAAGCGGCGCACGCGCCGAATCGCGCCGCTTTATTGGCATTGGCCCGGTAGCCAGCAATGTTTATCACTCGCCACCGAATAAATGAGCGAAACAAATGACGTAACAGTTTCATACGAACGGATATTTCTGTCCGCAGCTGACGACTCCCTCCCCTTCGTTGTCACCCCCCCCCTGCCCGTGGGCGGGGGGAAGTTTAGCACGCGATCCCGGCGATCCGTTCGCAAGCTTCGGGATTTCACCGGGAACTTCCAAACACACACACGTGCGGCACACGCGCCGTAACCTCGCGATTTAGCGGTTTAATTGCGAGCGTATACGAAGACTTAAGATCCCCCAGTGGAGCCTCGAAACAGACTGTTGGGGCAAGTTCCGTTAACGAGCACCTTTTGAAGGCCGGAACGGCACATTGTGGGGGGGGGGGGTGGGCTGTCCAGTACCATGCCCGGCCGCCTTTGTCTCCCGAGTGGTGATGCTTATACACCGCACCAGGTACTCATTTCAGGCAGAGTTGACCTAGGGGAGGCCCAGAACCAGTTCAGACAATCGTCACTGGTAATGACCGTGAGCGGGAATAGAACTCGGGTCGCTGGGTTCATAGCGAAGCGTGCTAACCGCTGCCCACAATGTATATAGACACAGATAAAGACCCCCCGTGTAGCCTTAATAGACTGTTGGGGCAAGTGCTGTTTGCGAGCACCTATGACGGCCGGCACAGCACACGAGGGGGTGCGTGACCAATGCCATGCCCGGCTGCCTGTGTCTCCCTAGTGGCAATGCTCACACATCGCACTAGCTACTCATTTGAGGCTGAGTCGACCTAGGGGAGGCCCAGGACCGGTTCAGATAGTCGTCACCGGTGTTGGCCGTGAGCGGGAATCGAACTCGGGTCGCCAGGTTCGTAGCGCTGCACGCTAACCGCTACACCACCGCTCCCCGCGAGACGCACATAGACGCACAGAGGCTCCCAATCAAGTTGCACCCAATCAAGTTGCACCCAATCAAGTTGCACCCAATCAAGTTGCACCGACTGAGAGGCGAGTGCCATTGGCGAGGGCATGCTCAGGCTGGCCGTGGCCTCGGCGGTGGATGGTGTGGCCAGAAACCGTGCAGAGCCGGCAGCTGTTATCTCCACGCTGCTGATGTGTCCGCACTGCGCTGGGTACTCATTTCAGGCTGAGTCGACCTAGAGGAGACCCAGAACAGGATCAATTACCACTTATAGGTTGTGCGTGGCCAGGCAATTGAACCATTGCACGACCATCGACCGATTTGCAATGTAAATTCAAGGATGCCCCACCATGTAGCATATTAAACTATTGCACCGAGTGCTGTTTGCGAGCATCTTTCCAGGGTTGCACGACACGGGAGAGACGGTGGTATGGCCAGATCAATGCCTGGACCCGTTTGTCTCTTCAGTGCTGCTTACATACTGCACCAGGTACTCGTTTAAGGCTCAGTTATTCTAGGAGAGAGGCCCAGGACCGTTTCAAATATTTACCACTGATATTGGTTGGGAGTGGGCATTTAACTCGGGTCGCCGGGTTTGTACCGCGACACGACCGCTGCCCGTAAGACGAAGATCCCCCGTATAGCACTCAACAGACTGTTGTGACAAGTGCTGTTAGCGAGCACCTATGAAGGCCGGAACGGGGCAAGTACACGCACACGCGCGCCCGCACAAACACACACACGCGCGCGCGCGTGAAACTTCCCGGAGGTTTTTTCGCGAATTGTTTTATTGACGCAGTAAATCTCATCTTGAAAATGCAATGAAGACACATTCGCATGCCTCCGTTTCTCAGCTCTTGTTGAAAGCACAGATTACAATATTGATGCCGAGGCAATTTACATCCCCCCCCCCCCCCCCCACCTCTCTCCCTCTCTCAATAAGCGCGCCCGCATTCTATGTGTTCAGATAAATTGGTATTGAGCAATCGTAGTTCGTTCTTTCGTTCGTTGCCGCCTTCCATATTTCTCGTCGTACATCCTCGGGCAGAGGCAGCCAGGAGTCGGAGCAGTCGCTTCTAATTTTCGCGAGGATTCTTTCAACTTTTCTCTTCCCCCGCCCGCCCGCCTGCCTGCCCGCCCCCCGTCGTCGTTACAAAAGTTTGGAGGATTCCTATGATACAATAAACACGGGATGAAGAGACACGCCGTCATAAATCTTATTCCCGCACCAGTTGTAAATCTTTAATTTATCTTCCACCCCCCCCACCCCCCCAATAATGCGACAGTATCTGTGCCGACACGGGGAAGAAAGTTCACGGGGAAGAGAGAGTGTTGTCCCCCATCATCAATCAGCTTATTGTTATAATTTTAAAAATAGATTGTATCTTTCCGGAGTCTTTTCGTTTTGATTATTATTGATTGCCGTTGGCCTGACTAAGGAATTGTTGCGGCAGTGTTGACGTGCACCGGTAACCTGGGTTCGATTCCAGGCCACGGCTTACATCAGTGGCGAGCGATAGCTGAATCGGTCCTGCCCGTAGACACCACTGCTACCTCGTGAACCCGAACTGATCAGCCCGGTGAACTTTGGTCAAACAACGCACCCCACAGCCAACATTGTGTGTGTGTGAGGAGTCCTTCAGTCCAACGGCGCATTTACAAAGGGCTGTACATAATTTTTGTCACAGTGATTTTAAATTCGATTTTGACGTCATTTTGAGTGGCACGTAAATGCATTGGAAACCCTGATTGGGAGGTGGTGGCTTTTATTTATCAATAGAAGTCATGTCAGTTTAACACACAGGCTTTCGCAACCAATATCATCCATAATACAGTTTTTTTTGGGTTAGATAGCATAAATGTAAATATGTGGTTGAACCCGCCACCACCCGACACAGCCAATTAGTACGGTTTGTCACATAAGCAGAACGTGCCAATTCGTTACGAGTACAGCACACCGGTGTGTTGGAGAGCAAATCCACAACATTTACAATCTGAGTCATTTGTGGATTAGCTCTCCAACACACCGGTGTGCTGTACTACTAACGAATTGGCACGTTCTGTTTACGTGACAAACTTGGCTAAATTGGCTGTGTCGGTTGGTGGCGGGTTTAACGACACATTCATATTTATGCTATCTACCCCAAAAAAACCCTATTTTATAGAAGTAATCTCGCAAAGCCTGCAGTGTGCAGCACCCCTTGCACCACTGAAGTGACATGCCCCCCCCCCGCCGCCGCCGCCGCCCCAGCCCGCCTGGCAGTGTCTCATCAAGCTGGGGGGGGGGGGGTTCCCTCCCCCGAGTTCTTTGACAATGTGCCCCTGCCGGGCTGAAGTCAGCGGTGGCCGTTTGTCACGTTTAGTGCCGCCCCGCCTGTCCTGCCCCCGTTGTTCCAATACGCTCAGAGCCGAGCACACGGACGGATACAACAACGGCAGCCACAAATTCTGAGCCTTCTTTCTTGGTGCACGCTGGGCACACAACGGAGGACAGAGCGAGTCCGTCCGATGCTGGCGGAGCCCTCCTTCCACCTTCCTGCTGCTCCAATAACAACGCGGCAACATTCATTTCTCTTTTTCACTTGTCAGCCCTCTGGCTCGGGCACCCCGCGTCTCCGAGGTCTTGGCTTAGGTGGTCTAACATATTACCAGGCTGACGTCGGGTCAGAGTTCGGCTTCAGGATACACCGCGGTAGATGTTGC